TACAGCAACGGCTAATAAATTCATCGAAAGCGGACACTTTGACTCCGACAACATTCGCAACAAAGAGGAAACGTTGATTTAGGCGCGGGCAATGAATAATATCATTGATGAGATCGTAGAAGAACATCATTGAAGCGTTGATGCGTCGTCTTTGTAGCGATTGCATGTCAAGTTTTGACAGCCGTTGATCGTAGCTCGAAATCGTGTAGTTGTTCGCTGCATTTTGATATTCTCTCAACGCAAACATTGTAAATTGAATGAGAATACTTTCAATTTTTCCTTTGTGGCATTCGTAGAACGGGAGCCAAACCACACTGCAATACTCCAGTACCGATTGAACCAAAGCATAGTAGAGTGACTTGAGTGTGCAAATATCTCTGAAGTCATAGCAAAATCGCTTGATAAAACCCAGAGTTGACGCTGCTTTAGCAGTGATGGCGTTAATGTGTTCGATAAAGTTCAATTTTGAGATCCCTCTGTTCGCTGACTCTACGAAATTCATGGGCACCATAAAAGTATTTACCAATTACGATGTTCACAGTCTGACGATTTGAGATTGACATGATTGCACATTTATCAAGGTTGAGGTGTAGATCGTTTTCAATACACCATATTTTGAGTTTGTTTATTGCCGATTGAAGTTTATTGATGTCATCAGGTGAATTTATAATCGTTGCAATTTTGAGATCATCAGCAAATAGTGAAATGAAAACATCAGGGCCCAGATTCGTCGCTATATCATTAATGAACAGCAAAAACAATGTCGGTCCTATGTGGCTTCCTTGTGGAACTCCGGAGTTAACTACAAAATCGTCAGATTGTTGATGTTCATATAACACAAATTGTCGCCTATCGGTGATGTACGATTCGATCCAGTTGACAAGATTTAGCGGAAGGTTGAATTTCTTAAGTTTCGATATCAAAATGCGATGATTCACCCGATCAAAGGCTTTGCTGAAGTCGGTATAGAGCACATCAACTTGACCATGGTTCTTAATCACGTAGTGGGTGAATTCCATGAGATTCGTTGTCGTTGAGCGATGTTTCATAAATCCGTGTTGCTGCGGAATTATTTGAGTGTCGATCAATTTGATGAGTTTGATGTTTACCAGTTTTTCGAAAAATTTAGCAATGGTAGGCAACTTAGCAATGCAACGGTAATTCTCAATGTTCGATTTTGCGCCCTTCTTGAAGACAGGACTGACACTGTATCGTTTCCAAGCGGTGGGGAACGCTGATAATGCAAGTGATTCGTTGAAAATAATCGATAGTGGTTTGTAGAGTAATGCCGAGCAATTTCGAAGTAGCAAAGGGTGAATACCATCCGGTCCAATTCCTTTAGTTGTGTCGATTTTCATGAGCTCATCAAAAACAAAATGCTCGTCAAGATCAAATAAAACGTTCGTTGTAATGTGACGGTCATTCATTTGATTGTCGTTGATATTTTGACGCGATGAATCATGGAAGTTCGTGCTGAAGAATTCGGCAAACAATTTCGATTGTTCATGTGTGTTTGTTGTTTCTTTTTCACCATAACGAAGGAGTTGGGGTGTATTTGCATTTTTTCTCTTTGAATTAACAAATTGCCAAAATGACGCAAAGGTGTTGAACGTGATTTGGCCGCATTGCACGATAAAATTCGCTGATTTGACGAAACCGCCAACCGTTTGCTGCAATCACATCCAAGTATCGCCGAACAAACGTACACCAAGCAAAAGGAAATCAACGAAATGTGGAATGAAATCATCACCAAGGCCAAATCACGTAAGGAACGTCTTTTGGACTCATATGACTTGCAACGCTTCTTAAGCGATTTCCGTGATTTAATGGCATGGGTCAGCTCAATGATGGCACTCGTCACATCCGAAGAACTCGACAACGATGTCAAATGTTGGTGGACTTGTAATGAATTTTCGCATTTGGAGAAGCTTTTATCAACCCAAAACCAACCATCGTCGAACGAGTCGATTACTGGCGACGTAAAAAAGAAAATCGTTCTAAGTATATTGAATACCTTCGCTAAAACTGGCGCTGGTTTGACGCAAGTAAACAGTAAGTTGATCAGAGATTTGATGAGTAGCCATTTTTGCGGAAGCATTTTTAATTTCATCAATGAAAAAAATTAACCTTTTTCTCGATTCCACATTTATAGAAGAGTATGAAAATCAAACTGGTGAAAAACTTGCTCCCAGTAGACAAGAAGGTGAAATATACATGCGATCTATTGGCGATGAAGTGACTGAGGATATGTTTGGTCAGTATTGGTCAAGATCAAAAAAATCTGCACACATTCTCAACATGGTGACTAAACAAAAAGGCCATGGCTGTGAGGAACGACTTGTAAAAATTATAAAGCCGAATGGAAGGAGCCAAAAAAATAAACAAGGATTCCCGGTATATTTAAACGCAACATGCGAACGAACTGAAAAACACCCATTTCGGAGAGGTAATTTTTTCATTTATTTATTCATTCATACTGCCAACTAGATGACCTCTTACACACTGACACAAAAAAAAAGACTAGCGGAACTTTGATATTGTTATTTATTTACATTTAGAATTTGAATATTTTTTTTTTTTTTCATTTCCCGAATGTAATGCTTCAAATGGCTATTTTTCTCTGTCTATTTTTTTCACTTTCACAGATGAGCTGAGAGTAAGGCGTGTAAAAAAAAAAGTCGTACAACAACATCAACTAGAAGAGCGAAGAAGACACAACTGGAATGAATGAAGCTGACTCGATTGGTAAAGGTGTGTATTTTGTCCTCTTCTTCTCATTCCTTGTCTTCGGTCCAATTGTCTGAAAAGAGAAAAAATAAATACAGAACATTTTGCATCCATTCTGACACTAAAATCCAATCGGCGGCTCTACAAAGTGCATAAATTTGAGCCAGCATTGAAATGGGGCCCGGAGGTTTCAGTTTGAATTGTGAGAGGTGTGCTTAGAAGCTTAAGAATATAATAGACTTCTATTTTTTTTCAAACAAAAAAAATTGGCGTTTCGTGAATAGTTTTCGATTTTTTTTGGTATGCGATGGTAATACTTACAGGTCAATCAATTGCAACAGCTGTCCGTTGGTTTGTGCATTGTATTCTTTGGTGGATTTGGTGAGCTTGTTTGATTTGGTTTTCTCATCTGATTAAACACCCAATACGAGGCCACGAGACTGAAAATAGACAAAAAAGAGCGAAAAAAAATACGGAAAATTATTCAATCAATCATTCAATCAGTCTACAAATATTTCGATGCATTATGCATTTGATGCCACTGCGCGCATCAAATGAAACTTTCCACAAAATTGAATTTGTGTGTTGAGCACCTGGATACAATTTCTATAAATCAAAATACGCGCGCGGCGAAAAATACCGTACGAACGCAGGCATATAATAGCACACACCACATCAACTTAGCTCCAAACACCGCATTAAACACACGGCATTTTTTTTTTGTTTATTTTCAAATACACCGAAAATTTTAATTTTTTTTTCCTGCAAGAGAATTCTCTTTACAAATACTCAACATATTTATATTTTGGAATGAAACCAGAAGAACTGTCCTATTGAATGGAAAGTAAATGAAATGCAGTTGTTTTCCATTTCTCGGTGAAATGTAATAGCATTTGTAAATTTGGCTCACGGTTTCTGCGTTCGCCTCTCAATTTAAACCGTAGCAATTTCTCTCTCTCTCTCTCTCTCTCTCTCTCTCTCTCTCTCTCTCTCTCTTCTCTGTCCTACTGCCGCGGCTGTGGCTGATATTTCGTGGTGATGGGAAATGTAAAATACAAAAGTCCATCATTAAACAGATAGCTGTTTTTTGGGGAAGAGAAAGAGAGAGAGAGAGAGAGAGAGAGGGAGAGAGAGAGAGTCGCTGTATACGCAGACTGATTGTCTTTTGCGCTCACTCTCTCTCTCACTCATTCTATCGCTTTCTCTTTGTCTCTCGTTCGCTCTCTTCGCCTCTGGTCTGTGTATTTTTGTACATAAATCTCACTCACTCCTTCTTCGCCACCATATTTTTTTTCAATTTTGCCTTTTTTTCTTTACGGTTAATCCATTTGCGCGTCTGCCAAGTTTGTTCAAGAAACGACAGGTCCTTATTTTGAACAAAATCCGCTGTTTTTGACAGTTCATTGCAACAAATCGTGTTTGGTGCGAACAATTCATACGTTTGATTTTTTTTTCCATTGAATTTGCGAAATTTTTTCCAAAGGCAATTGAATTTTGCCGCAAAATATGTGGGTTTTCATCCACATTTCAACCGGTAAGCAGAAAATTAATTTTCATTTAATGCTCAAACTTTCTACGCCAATGATGCTGCCAATTGCCAAGATCAATCATTTTTTTTTTGTCTATTTTTGGTTTTGTTTTATCATTTTAGTCCAATTCACGAAGTCAGCCTATTCAATTTGCTACGTTCATTTCTGTCCACATTTTTGACTAATCACCTAATTTGCATACAAAACCAAATAAGCATGAACTCATAGCCGTATTGTGTCCGATTCCAAGCATAAAAATGTTTTCAATTGGTCATTTTCAATGGTTTATTTTGTCTCACATGCTGACCGTCAGACCGAACAAACGTTGCCAAATGCTGTCTGATACAGCAACAACAAGCAGTACACTAAACGGCTGGTTGTCATTTCAAAAGCCAATTAAAGTCGCCGTCTAAATTTAGGTGCAGTCATTTGGCAATCAGCAGTCATCAGTTCGCAGCTTCATTTGATCGCGTAAAATGGCGATTCAATAGAGAAACGAATGACGCTCTACATATTCTATGTCGTACATGTGTACAATAATAATGAGTATCATGTTTGAACAACAAATGTAATCGAATCAAGGTCGAGTCAGGAGCTCATTGAAGCATAACACACGAGCAATATCCGATGTATAGACAACTCAATTGAAAATGACTAAAAAAGATAGGGAAATAGTGAAAACGACCGAAAGAAAAAAAGATAGAAGCGATCGAACAATAGAAATGAAAGAAGAACGAAATGAAAAAGAAACAACCAATAGAAAATTGTCGTTTTGATTGCAATTATTTTATTTGAATCGATTAATAAAACTTGTATAAACAAAAAAAAGCACATTTAATTAGAATCGTTCATTTCTCAACGCGTAGGCGATTTTGAAATCTTGATTAGTTAGAACCCAATTTGACTTTTGTATATTGTGACAAAACGAAATAGATCAACAACAACAAAAAAAAACATAACAAAAATGCTCTGTTATAGTAAAAAAAAGAATTATCTCTCAATTGTAATTATTAGCAAAAAATCAAAATGTTAATAGATTTGTGTGTGTGTGTGTATGTGTGCATATTTTCTTTAATTCGAGACGACGTCCACGGGCACGTCCACTGCTTGCACTGTAATCAGCGTTGGTTGATTTTGTTGGATTGTTGTTGTTGTTTTCTTAATTTTCCAAGTATGATGGTCGGAAGGATTGGTATGTTGGAATATTTCGAATGTAGGCAAGTGTCGGTGGTGGTATTGTGGGATAGGCCTTGACAGTTAGAACACCATCGGTTGACAATGATGATGTTACGTCACGGATTCGGAAGTCATTTGACAAGTCGTACTTGCGTTCAACTGAAATGACAATAGAGATGCGCGGTAAATGCAAAGACATCAACAAAAAGTGACTAGGACAAATGAGGAAAAAACAGGAATTAACCGAGTACATACACTGTCGTTCAATGTAACCATTGACTTTGGGACGTTTGTCGTGCTTTCCCTTGATCACAATCGCATTTCCAACCACTCTCACATCGATTTCGTACGATTTGAACTTGAAACACATCTTTCGTAACTTTGACATCACGTTCAACGCAATTCAAATCACCATAGTATGAGTCCACCAAGCAATTCTGCTTTCATATGGAACCAAAGCCATTTTTTTATATCTTTAAACTTATGAAACTTACTTTTTAATTTTTTTTCATTTATATACATACTTTGAGACTATGTTACAATTAGAACTATGTTACAATTTGGATGATTTACGATACTTAACAATTTTCTCCACTTGCAGTGTTTAGAATGACAAGTGGATGAGCGAATGAATGTGTTGGTGAGAATGTGGCCTTCCGGTATCTTCCTCCGCCATGACAGCATTTTGCGCCGCCATGACAGCATTTTGCGCCACCATGACAGCATCTTCACAACGACATCAGAACAGCACACACTCTTTAGTATACTTAAGATGGCGCACATCATTCCTAAACTAGCTGGTTAGTGCACACAGTTCAGTGGAAAAGTTCGATAAAATTTACACCAAATTATACATTGCAACATAAAAATATAAACTTCAAACGCAGTTTTCTGTGCGATTTAGTGAATAATTTTGATTAAATTCATGCATCAAACATACACACACCATTTTTTAATCATTGCAACGTTCATTTTTTACCGGTGTGTGAAATTGCGCATCACCACAAACAATTATCACTCAAATTAAGAAATGAGAACCGAACGCAATGGAACGTAGAAATTATCGTACACGTTCCATTTGCGAACGTGAAAAACAATATATCGATGATGACGAGAAAGATCCAACTAATTTTGCAACTGAACGCGAATCGTCCAATCTGAATCGTCTACACTAAAGCACAATTACTGTACCAAAAGGATGCTCATCATTTGTCAGCGGCAGTATACTGTGTCTTATTTGATCGAGCCGGCGAATACATAATTACCGGTGCCGAAGATCACCTCGTCAAACTGTGGAGTGCAAACGATGGTGAATTGCAGCACACATTTCGCGGTGCATCGGCCGAAATCACTGACATTGCAGTGAACTTGGAAAATACTCTATTGGCAGCTGGTTCTTTGAATCGCAATGTACACGTGTGGAACTTACAAACTGCCAAACAAGTTGCAGTTCTTCGCTATCAAAACGGCCAAATCACATCGGTGAACTTCTGCCCGTCATCGAAAAACGAACTACAGTTTCTCGCAGCAACGAGTACAGATTCTTCGGTTACGTTCTACAAATATGAAATGCAAAAAAATGGTGAAATACATTTCATGTAAGTGCAATTCAAATCGCAATTCAATTTTTTTTCCTCCTTCACAATTATCCAGCCAATTGTCTATCCATAATTTCAAAATAATTTCAAATTGATTCTCACTTGCAGACCAACACAATTTATCGAAAAAATACGCCCAGGCCAAGCAGCGAAAATGATGGATGCAGCATTTTCGCCAGGTGGTAACTTTTTGGCGGCCGGTTCAGCTGATCACAATGTGCGAGTATATCGCATGATCAAAAACGAGCCAAAACGTATCCTGGAAACCGAAGCACAGCACACAGAGACATCGTCGATTCAATTCAGTGGGCTCACAATAGTCTGCGGTTTGTTTCTGGTAGCGAAGATGGTACAGCGCTCGTATGGAACTTCGAAAGCCATCAATGGAAATCAATGCGACTGGAGATGACAGAGCGGCTGACAACATGCCCAACTCCGACAAAAAAGGACAAGGAATCAAGCGTTACAATGGTCGGCTGGGATTTAACTGACGAATTCGTTTTCACTGCGGTCAATGATTTCACGGTGAGTCAGATGGAAAATGCTATCCTACATATCTAATGAAATACTAATATTTTTTATTCCGCGACGTTTTTTTTTTGTTGTAAAATAGATAAAAGTATGGAATGCAGCCACAGGCAAATTGCATCGAGTAATGCGCGGCCACACCGACGAATTGTACGTGCTGGAATCGCATCCAAGAGATGCGCATATTTTAATGTCAGCCGGTCACGATGGAAGGATTTTTATTTGGGATGTAAAGGAAGGTGTTTCTATATGGTCAACTATTATTGACGACGACGGCTTAACTAAAGTTCTAGATGCAAAATGGTCACCAGATGGTACAATGATTGCGGCAACAGATGTCGAAGGCCATTTGATGGCATACAAATTTGGTTCAGAGGACCATGATTCGGGAGCTGATGTATCGACTTCAATGCAGGCAAGGATGGACGAAGAAGAGGCAACGCCAGTCGCCAAACGGCCGCGTGGTCAACCGAAAAAAGATATTACGTCAGAATCAAACACAAAGTAAGTATTTTCTGATGGTTTGAGCATCGAATTACATGAACCCATGAATTATACTTTTCAAAACATTTTTTCATTCAATTGTTCAATCTTTTTTTTTGTTCTTTTTTTCTCGTTTTTTCTTCATTCTTTTACTCTTATTCACTATACTTTACCTCATTTTGCTGCACATCTATCAAAACTAATCATTTTTTTTTCATCGTTTGATTATAGTGACAAACCAGCTGAAACGTCCCAAACCGACCATGAACCAGCGAGTGCAATGGACTTTAACGACACTGAAATTAACTACTGTAATGTCAATGTAGCCAACGAATCACCATCGAGTGGCATCAACAACGCATTTGGACATAAAAGATCAAATTCCGAAGCTGATCAACCCCTTGTTGTGCCTACGAAACGAGCCCGTTCATATTCGCCAAGCGAAGGTCGAAGTAGTCAAGTTATTTGTGATATAGGACGCCAAAATCTACCGATTGGCGATAACAATGAAATTCCAGAGACCTACCGACCTGGCTGTCAGAAGTCAACTGTATGTAGTCAACTTAAATCAAAGTCATTAACCCTTTGACGACCAAGATTGAACGGATGGGAATTTGGCAATTCTGATTGCAGATTCGTGCTCAGCGTCGAGTGCGGATTTGAAACTACTTGAACAATCCAAGAGTTCGTTGTACAGGGGTAAAATTCTAAGTCATTCCACCAAAATCGTTCGGAATTATTTTTTTCGTACATAAGCCATATTGGAGTGAAAGAGAGAGATTCCACTATTTTTCAGCGTCCCACCGGTATTATTTCTCCTACCGTTATTATTCCTTGAGTTATCGGAATAATTCCGGTGGAGAGCTGAAAAATAGTGGAATCTCTCTCTTTCACTCCAATATGGTCTTATGTACAAAAAAAAAAATTCCGAACGATTTTGGTGGAATTCTTAGAATTCCAGCCCAGTTTTTCCTTTTCAAGATTTAATGCAAATGTTCTCAAAATCAGTGATTCACTTAATCTTGTTTGAGAAGGTTCTAAATCTTTTTTTTGGTCGTTTTCTTTTTTTTTCAAACACATAAATGTCGTGCGATATGGGTAATTCATGTTCAATGCATCTCTGTGATATTGTCGATTTACATTAGGAGCCAAATTGAACTCTGATTGTCTGTCGTTGTCACGGTCCAGCATACATGCATGTGAATATCCAATGTAATGTAATAGAATTTCTAAAACATATATCTTTCCGGTACCATTTGTATCATAACCATTGAATGGTATGACGTTTGGGAAATAATAGCTGAATAAAGTCTCACCCTCTTTGAAGATTTGCTCAATAGACATATTATTAAGGCGCATTTTTACCATAAAGTTTTTGTCATTTAAAGAGAGATTTTTTAATTTAGGATCAATCTCATTCCATGAGAAAATAAAAAGAATTACATTGGTAATCCCGAACTTTTCCGTACCGTTGACCTGCGTTGTCCGTAGGTACTTTTGGTTATTCTTTGTGAATTTTCTTGAAATAAAGGCAGCGAAAATATAATAATGAAAATAAAGTGAAAAATCGGTCACTTTAACTAAAACTTCGACAATTTTGTATGAGAGGTACCCGTAAACCGATTCCTATTGGCTTCAAACTTTCTGAGGTTCCATTTTTTGGAGAAAAAATAAGATTCTGAAAGTTTCATCTTGATCGCATTTGCAGAAGTTTGGTCTTTCGCCCTCAATTTTTTCCAAGAAAATGTCGACAAAAATTGAGGACAAAAAATCCAACTTCTGCAAATGCGATCAACATGAAACTTTCAGAATCTTATTTTTTCTTCAAAAAATGAAACCCCAGAAAGTTTAAAGCCAATCAGAATCGATTAACGGGTACCTCCCATACAAAATTGTCCAAAAATCGGTAATTTTAGTCAAAATTTCAAAATTTTTGTATGGGAGGTACCCGTAAACCGATTCCGATTGGTTTCAAACTTTCAGAATCTTATTTTTCTCCCAAAAAATTTCACAGAAAGTTTGAAGCCAATTGGAGTCGATTTACGGGTACCTCCCATACAAAAGTGTCAATTATTTGAGGTTTTCCTTAGGGCAAGTACCCCAGGATCAAATCAAAAATGGCTCATCTTCGAACTTAAACTAAGTTTTTAAGATACAAAACTTTTGGCATTTCCAGATTTTGATTATCTCAATTATTTTTTGAGTTATCGTGTTAACACACACCAACGACGACGACGACAACGACGACGACGGCACACGAACGGAAAAGTGTCTCAAAAAGTGGTTTTCTACGCGTTTCATGAGTTTTTATGATGATCTAAGCTAATTTTGCGAAAAAAGTTTTCGGGACCAATTCCTATACTTTCCCTTGACACGTTGTGTACGGAAAAGTAATAAGAATTATCATAATGTTCCTACTCCAGTCTGTGATACTTATTTAATTGATTTTAACACGACTACAAATTGTAATATGCGACATGAATATGTTAATAAAGACACACGACAGTTAGT